CTTAATTATCTGTGACGTGAATGCTGAGGCAGACATTTTGTTTAGAAGCTAGTAGCTAGTAGTACATGATACCTTTTTTGTCATTGGTTTTCCTCACAAAACAATAATCAACGTGTTAGTTTTAAAGAGGCTTTGTAACCATAGCAGTAATTCTGCTTGTTCCGGTGTGACAGTACCGTCGTAATCAGTAAGTCTGGTATAATATTGCAGGGCAAACGTCAAGGCGCAGAACGACCTCCGTCCTCCATAAGCGCAGGCCTGGGGGTGACAGGTGAGGCCATCTGTCACCCTAGCAGAAGCAGGCCGATTCCGATATAGCCACCGGCCGGGGTGGCGGCGAGCGCGTTACGAAGCGCGCTCGCTTCCAGGGAACATGGGGTTCCCACACGGGGGGAGGGTCGTCTACTCGTCTGTAGATGACCAGAGGTATGTCGGGGCACCAGGGACTTCCTTTCTAAGGTATACCTGGTTCCCCGGCTATTAGTACCCGAGACGGCGTGCGGTTTTAGTCGGTTCGAGTCCGACATGCCACCGACAGGTGGTATCCGAGGGGATTTCCGCACGGAAAAAAAAAAAACAAAAAGGGCAAACCTTAAGGATCTCGCTCATATAGGGGCCTCGCTTACTTGCGCAACAGCCCAAATAGAAAAAAAAAAGGATTTCGCGCCTTACGCCTCGCATTATACAACTAACGTCACGCTATTCGAGCTCGATTTACGTTCGGAAATTTTCGGTGTTTCATTCCACCTTACAGGCTTCCAGTGTCTACTGTCGTCGGCCTATGCTTTTATGTTCGAGGAGTTGTATGTATAGCGTGTTGGGTTACATTTTTTGTTCCAAGTATCATGCGTAAAACTAATTCCACAAAGACAAGGGCTTCTCAATGATCTACCAGCCCAGTGCTCGCAATGGCTAAGGCCACCACTGAATGCTAAACTACTTGGCTACATACCAATTTCTCAATATTAACAACCTTCTTTTTAAATGCTGTTTAAAATGTTTTATACATAACGTTTTGATATAAGTGCAATAAGTGCTTCAAGCTTGAAAAACTGAACCGATTTACCTAGTTGAAATTTATATCATAGAGATAGTTTGAGTCTCGGGAAAGGACATAAGTAGGATAGTTTTTATCTCATTATTTTGTTAAAAAGGGTGAAGTGGGGGGTGTATCGGGGAATCAACCGATTGAACCGATTCAGATGTAATTTGGTATCGAGATAGTTTGATTCTTGAGCAAGGATATAGGTTACTTTTACCGCGATAAGCGACATACACGCTTGCGGAGCCGCTGGCAAAAGCTAGTAAACTTAAAATATATATTCCAGATGCTACCTTAAGGATAAGTTCTAAAAGCGACTGCATACTTATACAACAAATCAACTTTTAAAATGAGATTTGTGCCATAGAGTAGACAATAGTACTTCAATACCAGCAGTTGTTCTAAGTAATAGTTGCCATTTGTTTAATTATAACAAGCCATTTTTTCTCCATGAACTGGGCGGCAATATTTATTGTTAGCACTTATTAGCGTGTATTGAAGCCAGTAAAACTGTAATTGTACAGAACGATAGGTAATTTGACCATTGCCATAATAATGTATACGTTTAAAACCAAATAATTGGGAAACTAAAAATTTTCGTGACTTGTGAATACAACTTTAATAAATTAAGAACGTCTAATTCACGTCCTGATTTCGAGGATACCCGACTAGTTTCGGACCCAACGGAGGACTATAATCATGGAGGGAAGCAACCTACTGCAAGGTTCAATGCCAGTGTCATTGGCCTCGCTGCAGCGCCCTAAATCTACACGTAGGTAGAATATTTTATCCTTTATAAAAATAAGACTATAGTAGTTCACTACTGAACATAGACCCACTCTAGTTTTCAAGTAGAATGCTATCCTACCCTGTTACCACACAGTACAGAAATATTAACCTGTTTCCATCCCGAAGGTGTCGTAAGAGGTGACTATGATCGCAAATCAAGCTGATAGTTCCGCTGCAAGAGAAGGAAAACTCGAAATACTTAAAACTCTTTATCAACCTATCTGCTCAATGTATTTGTTTTTGGAGGTTGGTTGGATCTCTCCTCCTTTATGCAGCAGTATGGGACACTGTGAGATATAAGTCTGATCGATTCCGACACACCGCAAACGCCGGTGGGCACGAGAGGTTTTATACACGCACAAAAAAGATAATAATAATAACTTCACAAATCTCACACTCGGCCGTCTGATCCCAAACTAGGCAGAGCCTGTACTATGTTAACCAGACTGCTGATAAACATACTTATATAATAATAATAATATTCTACCACATTCACACAACGCCATCCATTTCCAAACTAAGCAGAGCTTTTACTATGGGTACTAGACAACTGATACAAATACATTTATACATTTTTTTTGTAAATACATACATATTATACATAGAAACACCCAGACCAAATAAAACATTAAATGTTCATGCACACAAATGTTTAACTTGAGCGGGAATCGAACCCGCGACCTTTGGAATAGCAGTCCGTTACTCAAACCACTACGCCATCCGGTCGTATTTTTAAATACATACATATTATAGATAAATTACACCCAGACACAGAACAAATGACCGTTCTCATCACACAATATTTGTCCTGGGTGGGAATCGAGCCCAATCGAAGATGGTAGTTCTTATTGAACAATTTACAAAGAGTACAAAATTTTAACAATATACATTGAGCATTATATTGTTATGTAAATATACGATTGACACAGTGATTGAATTATATGCAATTCATTTACAGATTGCATAATCACTGTTCTTTAACCGTATTTTACCAAATGCGTTCACGTATGTAAATCATTACAAGATTTTTTTTTGTAATTTAAAATATTTGTTTTAGTATAGATAGTTGGCGCTACACTACTGTGCGCTTTTCGAGACACTTTACGCCGCACAACCAATCTGTGGAACGGGTTATCGTCTACGGTATTTCCGGACCGATACGACCTTCAAACCTTCAAGAAAAGAGCGTACTCCTTCCTAAAAGGCCGGTAACGCGTTTGTGGCTCCTGAGTTGCAGACGTTCATTGACGGCGATGGTCACTTTCCATCAGGTGACCCGTCTGCTCGTCTGCCCCCTCTATCATAAAAAAAAAGTATTTTTGTATTCTATTTAGTATACCTACTTATTATTTATGCCAATCAGTATTGATGTAGTCAGTCTTGGCATTATACCGACGACGCGATGTTCGCGACAAAGTGTGTTGACAACATATAAAAAGGCGAGTTCGAAAAACTGGTTTTACAATCACAATTTCTCAAGCAACATGCTTTGAAAGTATGTTAATCTATATATGTATCTTTTTGTACAAGTTAAAACAAACTAAACATATATCTAAACAAATCATTTGACTGTGTCCAATTTCATTCATAATACCTACCTGAGCAAATCATTACGGTAATGACCATAATTAGCAATTAAGTGTTTGTAAATATTTCACTTTCGTGTGAACATTATTGAATGAACTTGTTGTCATAGCATAGCATACATAGTATTTCTTTAAGAAACGCGATGAGCTAATGGGACTGAACGATTAAAAGTACTCATTTAATGTTTAGGTACCTTTTTACATACTCCGAGACATATAAATAATTATAATTTACATTAGCAGCACTTATAATGTTGATCTAAAGTTGACGAGAGGGCGAGCCAAGTGCTACAAGGAATTTTCCTATTAAATTCCTTTCCAAATAGTTTATTAGAAACCCCGGGTGTTCCGGGTTTTTCCATATAAGCACTGTTTTCATTATCATCAGACATTGCACGACGCATTTTTCTATCTTTTTTTACCTACCTATCTACAGCATTCATTTTTTTAAGCATACCATTGACAAAAATCAATTCTATTGATATAGGAAGATCTTCTATAGGAATTATTTCTGCAAAACAAAATGCAATTTGACCACAATGTTATTTTTTTTGTAACTTTTTTTAATGTGAAGTTTTCGCTAATAGATACTCTAGTAAAATGTTCTATCTGTTAACATAATCGTATATAGTGGAATAAAAACGATCATAAATGATATTGATAAAAAAAAAACAAAAAAAAAAAGAATTAAATTGTCTATCAGGTCAGTGTTTTCAAATAAAACACGAATTGCTTATATGATTATTTATTTAACAACTGTATTATGAAAGCCCATGTTTAATGAATAATAAATATAACAAATGTAATTATAAGAATGATGTTCCATACCTACACAAAATACTTTCTTCATAATACTTAAATAATTTCACAATTTCATATTATTATTTACTTATAAGGATGTACATTTTGTACTAAAGATATAAGGTCACGTAATTGACCTTCAAACTATTATTGGCGAATTTCTCTTGTCCGTTTCAACAATTAAATTTTAATGAACTTGTATCAATTTAGAATTTATACAACTTGGTAATTTTATTTTTATTAAATCCGGTACTCAAACAATGTAAATTCTCAACAATTAAAACAAAGGATTATTAGAAATCTGTTGCAGCTTGTATATTCATCATTAACCTTAGAACAATTAACATCCTAAGAATTTGAAGAGTTCTTGCTTTTATAAACTAAAAGATTTTGGGGCCTACCTCATATTCTTAAGAGAGTGAATTGAACAAAAATGTTCCAAAATTTTCTTCAGTTTGTACTAAAACTAACCAATAAAAATGATTGGCTGTTTATAAAGTTTCAAGAACATAAAAAAAAAATGTTGAGCAGTTCCTGCTGTTCATTAAAAAAAAAAGCATTGTTTTTAGCTCCTTGTATTATGCAAACGTAAGTATTATTGACTGCCTGATTCTATTTCTTTATTCTATTGTGAGTATTTCAAATCTGGCATTACTTCTAATTTTATACAAGTGGTAACATTTCTAACGCAGCATAACATATCCATTTGTGATTGAACCTACTTAAGTACATCTATTTCTTGGATTAATCTAATATGGATTTTCTACTAACAAAGGTGTAACTTAATTATGTGCAGATTGCTTCTCAAGGCCAGCAGGGTCCATGATCGGAGGCTGCTTCTTTACAATTCCTGATAACAGAGTTTTAATTTGGGCAATAGCACGGCCAGGGTTCAAGCCCTTAGGGCATGTTCGTGTACAATTCATGATGGTGTGACAACGATATACAGAGTATGTATCCTTAAGTTTAGAGAGACGCTTATCAGTGGCATCATCACGGGAGTCAATGATCCATCTGTAAGCCTGCATTAGGACAGCGGGGCCGAGATACTTGTCACCGTTCCACCAGTAAGATGGACAGCTGGTTGAGCAGCAAGCACAAAGTACACATTCGTAGAGTCCATCAAGCTTAGCACGATCCTCAACATCCTGAAGCAGCTGTGTCTCCTTACCTTTAGTAGGTTCCTTGTCGCGCTGAAGCCATGGCTCTATAGATTGATATTGACGATAGAAATTCGTGAGATCAGGCACGAGATCTTTAACCACGTACATGTGTGGTAATGGATAAATCTTGGCGGGCTTCGAGCAATTAGTGTCGATGTGGCTGATACATGCGAGGGTGTTGATACCGTCAATGTTCATGGCGCAAGAGCCGCACACGCCCTCGCGACACGAACGCCTAAACGTCAGGGTCGGGTCTATCTCGTTTTTAATTTTAAGTAATGCATCCAGAACCATCGGTGCACAGTCGTCTAAATCTACTTCATAGTTCTGCGTGTAGGGCTTCTTATCGGGCTCGTCAGGGTTCCAGCGGTAGACCGCAAAAGTCTTCAGCCTTTTCCCTAGAGCTGGTGACGTCGCAAAAGTGCGTAGCTGTCCGAAAGTGCCCATTGTCAATTTCAGTAGCGGCATTATGTAATGTGTATAATCACAAAAACTGAAACAAATTCACAATTTATATATGTCAGCACTTTGAGATTCTTTTTCGACCTATCGCTATTTAATCGCTTTCGTGTTGGTTTATTTGAATTCTGTACAGTCGTATCGAACCCACAACAACACACTGCTCACTTTGCGCAACTCTGAATGGAAATCAGCACGAAATATTTTTAAAAGACGAGCAGGTGGAATGAACGAATGAAATGATTGGAAGGATGAATGATTAGTACAAAGTTAACGTCAATAAAATTTACAAGTGCTGCCAACCTTCAGATTTTCATGCTAGTTGTACTTTACAACACCCTAGTTTAATAGTAAAATTTTGTATTTTTGTGATGCTTCTGCATGTATTACATGTTTTTTAAGTAAAATGATTCTTACCATAGTGAAGTTAGGTCTAAGGAGTTCTATTTCGCAACGTTCTCAGTTCTCTTTTAACTCAGGATTGTTGATATAATAGTGTTAAATGTGGGATATATAAGGGAATGTAGGAATCATTCAGTAGAATCAGTTACATCTGTTGATATACTTATAATGAAAAAAGTGTATAATCTCGTAAAGATATTCATCAACAATTAAATGATGTTAACACTATTGCTAGTTTTTTTATATGTTTTATCTATCATATATTTATTTATGTTCATATTCCAAGGTTTTACTTTTTAAATAATTTATTCATATTCATTTGTTTCTGCTATGGTTGTGGACGAAGAAAATAACTCCTCAATAGCAACTTGGCTTTTAGAGTTTTTCTTTATTAGCAACTAGTTGTGTACCAAGAATAAATGTTCTTCTATCACAACTGGTTGCCTTTCAAAGACTTAAAAATCCTCCTTAACAACTGGTTCTAAAACACTGTTGAGATAGCGGCCAAAAGGGAAAATTACGACTGTCCATATGAACCCAATTTCATTATTCATTATAAAGAAATTTTTTATAAAAAATACAACGCCGTAAGGAATGCAATTTTCGTGAAATTATAGCATTAGGGATTTATGTGAAATCAGACCCATCTTAAGGAACCTATTAATAATGCTGTCACGATTAAGATAACTCCTTAGGCTAAAATTATTTTAGGCTAAAAGTTATTAATCTATACCATAATATATACTTTATAGATATAAATCATTACGGTTTTTTTTAATTTCAACATATTATGCAATATGCGCAAATGAGCGCAAATACTAATCTTTTTTCTAAATGTCATTCAATTCCATTCATTCTAATTAGGGCGGGAATAGAATTTGCATTTTTATTTGACAGCTCGAGCTCGAGTTCGTTTAATGGTCCATCAAAACAAACACAAACAAGCCCTGTATTTGTGTTATTTGTAAACTATTTGTACGTAGTTTAATGGATCTTTATTATTCATTATTATAATGAAAAATATAAGTTCTTTAAGATCTAATGATACCAATTCGCCTAAGACTCCAGGTGGTATTAGCAAGTCATTATTGACACCATGTAGAAGACTAGGTCTTTCGCGGAGTTGGCGAAAGAGTGGTCCTTCTCCATTTATTTCACCTTTAGCTAGTGTTAGCGCGGACGTTGAAGAAAAGAAAAGCGCTAGCAGGAAACGAAAAGAATGTTTATCGGATGAAAATATTCAACTAACTGACAATAATACTGAAAATGAAATCAGCTCTGAAAACATTGAACATACTCCATCTAGAAATGTTGAAGCGCCTCGTAGAAAAAAGTCTAAAACATTACTTGTAGCTATTAATGAACCTGAAGAACAGGAACTTAGTAGTAAAGTGTGTAAAGATGATCAAAGTATACTTGAAACCCAGGCTGCTGATGGTCATACTGTTGAGCCTGAAGTAGTGTCTACACCTGTATGTACAAAGCCTAAAAAAAGTAAAAAGCATGTTTCACCTTTGAAAAGCAGTACTAACGAGCTAAAAATAAATCCTAAATCTGATGAGCAACTAGATAGTCCTGATGTCCCAGTAAAGGAGCATACAGAAGAAGCTACATATGCAATAAAAGAAAAAATTCCAAATGACCTTAGCAAAGAATGTGTGGTTGTCATCCAAAGAAAAATGTTTAAAAACAGTGAGAGTAATGTTAAAAATAGCAAACTTATTAAAGAAGAAAACCCATTTGACAAATTAGATTCAGATTCAGATGAAGCGCCTTTAATTAAAATACAGAAACAAAATTCAATTAAGTCCAATGAAAAAGTGATCAAAGATGAGGATGATGATTTCGTTGATGAAAACAAAACATCTATAGTCAAATTACATAAGGTTAAAAATGCAAAATCTCCAAAAAATAAACAAAAGACAACAAAACCAGTGAAAACTAAATCATCAAATACTACCATTGAAATTAAACCTTTGCAAAGTTGTTTAGATGATGACGATGATGATGATTTTGATAACAAAAAAACTATACTAATAAAAAAGACTTATGATAAAGTTTCCAAACCTACCAAAGCAAAGTCAACAGGCTCTATTACACAAAGAGACATAGATAAACTCAAGGAGAGAATAGAGGCCAAGAAAAAGCTCCTCTTAGCACAATCTTTGACTCCTGACACTGAAGAACTGAGAAGTTTAATAAAAAAATGGCAAAAGGGATGTCAAGATGCATTAATGGAACTATTAGATTTAATGCGTAATAAGTTTTCTGATAACACGACAATGGATTATTCAGAAATGTTAAGAACATTGAAAATACCTCCGTCTTTAGTTGGATATGATTCCGAGAATGATTGTTTTATTAGTCCTGATGATACTAGCATTATTTTAGGACAATTTAAGGATATTTAACTTATTTTTGAATAATTATAAGAATTTAATGAAATAAAAGATGTTATTTTGTTTAACGATTTAATTATGCTTTTATTTTCTGTGGAAGCTCCTATGCATCATCATCTCACATGAGGGTGAAGTCATATATAGGATAGACATGGTGTTCCATCACAAGTTAGTTTTATTACAGGGTATCATGAATACCCTGTCAAGGAAGCCACATAGAACCCCTACAGACTTAGGTGACCCTGACAAGCAAGCAACAACACTGGAGTATAACTCGTATCCAGAGAAAAGGAGTGTGTATAGTACATATCGCGCTAAATGTTCTCATTATCATAAGATTTATGTCTTAGTTGGTTGGTGCTTACAGATTTATATTATATGTATATACATCTATGATGTAATTGTATTTTGTTACAATGGTTGCAGTTGCGATTAATTCAAGTTGTAGTAGAAAAAGTTACTTGAGCATGCAGTTAAAAAAACTGTAATGCTCATTAGTATATTGAGATGACTCATGAGTATATTGAGATCAAGGAAAGTGTAAGTGGTGTATTATAATATTTAATTTCAAAACAGAAAGGCTCATGGCAGACAAACTAAATACTTAAACCTTGTCCCTAATATAAATAGCCAACCTGGAGGTCAAACAGACTTTACAGTAGGAATGGATCCAGCTTTAAATCCATGACAAACTTATTTAGTTGCCTATTTAGTCATAAAAGCTAGCCCAGGAGAGGGAGAGGGGGCTGTTGATTTAAACAGAAGCAATGATTACGTGATCTGATTACTGTCCGTGTGATGACGGATTAAAATACCTATTTATCCTAGACAACAGTACTGCGAAGTGAAGGAAAACTTAAAAAAAACCTATACCAACCCGTCTGACTAATCTAGCAATGGACTATGAAAGGCTGTGGATGATGACAGTGAATATGACAATCTTATTGAAGACTTTTGCTAATCTATATAATAAAAATCAATTTTTGTATGTTTGTCCTCTATACATTCCAAAACCATTGATCAAATTGTGATGAAATTTGGTAGATTCCCCCTAGATGTACCAGGGTACCTGGCTTACAAAGTCAATACCTATATAAATTAAGTTTTTTCATTACTTCTTCATACTTTATCTGGCATTGTGATGCATGCCAGGTACAGGTACATGACAGATCAGGTTGCCACAGACAAGATAGTCTATCAATAACACAAATTAACTAATAAGTGTATATGAAAATGGATAGAGTTCATGTCATGCCTGACTAGGAGTAGAGAGAGTAAGCCAAGGACCTGCCTGTGGCATTAGTAATGCTTAAAAAGAAATGAAAACTAAGTATGTTCTTTTCTAGACATTTTATTACCACCAGCAACATTTTATACTACAATTTGTACAGCTAACTACTTAAAATCTATGAGACCTAATAGGATTTTCTGGATCAAACAGCTTAGGGTCCTTCAAAAAACTTTTATCCTTGTAATAGTAAGGCATGTAAGCACAATTCTGAGCTTTTCTGATCTCACTTTCTACTAAATCTTGTTTGGCTTTGCATAAACCAGTAATATGTCTTCCGTAAATGCGACCGGTGTATGGACTTTGGAATTGGGACAATAATCTGTGGTTCTTATAATCTGGTGTTATGTTGAGCTTGCACAAAATACATTGGCGAACTTCTTTTTTATATGGGTTCTCCATTTCAACAGGGGAGTCATCTGATTCGGCCAATTTTGGGTCAGTGGATGAATACCTTATTGCTGTCGCCCGGTACGTAGTTGGTACTGAAATGTAATAGTGTTTTGTTATAAAGACATTAAATCTTTTTGGACTCTGACTTAATCTTTGATCAGTAAATAGATTGGTATTATAAACATGGTTAGACGAAAACTAAAAATGTAATGTAGAACTCTTTAAGTTTATACTTACAAATATATCGTGAAACTAATGTTTTTAATAGAGCCATAGTTATGGACGTAATCAACCAATCCTCTGGTCTATTGAAATGTTTAAAAGTTAAAAGGTTTATTTTAACAACATAACCTATAAATAAATTGACAGTAGTATTTTACGTTTAATTTCTGCTCTTCTTGTACTGTTGCTGTTTCTTTAAAAAGGTAAGTAAGGGCAAACTAAAATTTTCTTAGTAAATTAGTGAATATTTTATACCAAACTGTATCCAAAAATTATATAAAACTATAGCGACATGTACTATTATTAATATTTAGTGTATCTTCTAATAGCGCCTAGACCTTTTCTGACAGCAATATCGACTCTAGTGTTAACGAATAAATCTATAATTTTCACAACTATGTAAGAATATGATCAAGTAGTTAGATTTTAATATTTAAATAAGTTATGAAACTATAAACATACATAATTTAAGCATACTTTTAAATCGAATATCGAATATTGTGAATATTACAGACTGCTGCGATCAAGACGGCTGCAATAGTTTATTGGTAGGTACACTAAAAACCGATTGATATCAATAATAATTATGAATTCTACCTTATGTATTTCAGTCCACTGTCTTTGGACAAAATGTGCAAGAAATAATAAAACTAGTAAAATATTAGGATACCATTTTTTTTAAGAAGACCACTCTCGCACTAGGAATTTATCCTGTGTTGCGGGGTACTTTACACACATTTATGAAATGGACATAATTCCTTTGTTCCACTAAGACTCAAAATAATAATTTGTCGATCAGACAAAGTTGTCCCATGAGGGGATAGAACCCACAACACTCAACGCAGTAGAAAGCGGCAAGGTGTCCACCTAAACCAATATGCCACCTGTGCAGTCAAATGTTTTTTTTAAACAAAATACATATTTATATTCAACCTTTTGGGGGGGGACATTAATTACAAAGACTGTTAAGTCTTGTTGATCATTATTCAACAAATTTTAAACTACAATAACCAACTCAAATTGCCAAGTTATATTAAGACAACGAAAAAAAAAACACGAATTTTTACATTGTCTTTTTTTGGGTTAAGTCACCTTTGTAACAATAAAACTATTTCCACCCAGGACAAAATATTCTTTGATGAGCACGGTCCTTTGTTCTGTGTCTGGATGTAATTTATCTATAATATGAATCTATTTAAAAATATATAAGTGTGTTTATCAGCAGTCTGGTTAGCATAGTACAGGCTCTGCCTAGTTTGGGATCAGACGGCCGTTGTGAGATGTGTGAGGTATAGGTACTATGTTATTACAACATGTGGATAATTACGACCTTTGGAATGAATGTCACCCCGCGTGTCTTAAATAATAGCTTTTTGCTATTATTGCATAGGAGATAGGACTCTTAGTTATTTATATAAACTTCATTTGCATAACGATTATAATAATAGTGAGCTAGAGTAACCCTTAAGCCAGAAAGAACATAGAGTAGACGAAGTCTGGGCATAAACAAGCAGATTAAATGTAGGTATTATTAATATAATAAGAATAACTTGACACATTTAAGATCCTAAATTGCCTGGCCTGTAATATGGTAACCAGGCAGCTGATAAATAGCATCTAAATACATACATAATCATATTATAGATACCCAAATAGACACTAATTTTTGCGCTCATCATTACGAACTATTTGTTCAAGGTGTTGTCAAGAGCCCAGTCGCGATAAATTGGAGTAGCAGTATATTATGCGCAGTTGGCTATAGGAACTGCTTCTTAAGTGAAAGGGAAAGCCGCGACATTTTAAGGAGGTTGGTTCTTGACAATATTTCCGGTAAAAGCAATGTACATGTGTAATAAGGACAGGCAGTAAAGGACAATAGGATGGCAACAAACCGGCTTGCATTCAAGACAAAAGTGCGCGATCTTCTTCGGAGTCAATTGGCAGAACAGTCACAACGCTAGTACCCGACTGAGTCTCTATAAATCATATTAAATTTATGTATGTATGTGTTTTTGTATATTGTGTATACTTCTGGAATTCTACTATGTCAAATTTAATATTAATTTTTGCACATCACCTGAAATGTGCATTATTTTTTAAATAAATAAACACTAGATGAAATTGTATCCTGTAGGAATTCTAGATGGACACAACCTTCAAATCTTCAGGTAAAGAGCGTACTCCCAACTCCTGCCGTAAAAGTCCGGCATTGCACTCACGGAAAACCGGTGTTCAGCAATTCCTTTGTTGCTTTTCACTCCACCTGATTCTCGGAGAGTGAGGGGGGGGGGGGATCTCTAATGACGAAACTCTCTATAGATCATAGTCTTAGTTGGAATTTTTATACTAGAATACAGCCAGTATTTGGGTGATGACAAAGATTTGTTTGTATCTTTTTTTTTCATGGTAACTAAGCTTGCAATTTGTGTGTGTTACACGAACGATTACATGGAGATCTCAGCGACGAGATATTGATCTAAGTCTTTTTGTGAATTGAAACTGAAATTGTCAAAATTTGTCCAAAAAAGTATAATAAGCTGTAGATCAATATTTTATGAAATATTCACCTTGGTATTTATGGCCACGCAATTGTAAACTTGTAGTTTCCTTGTTGTTGATTATTTCTTTAAAACTTAAGACATAGGTACACTAAAACTGTTACAAGAAGAAAAGTCTTAATTTGTCTTACTTAAGTAAGTAGTTGCTGAGATCTCCGTGGCGGCGCAATCCTCCATGTTACGTTCGCGCGGCAAACTCAAAACCCGTATAACTTCTATTTTTCTATTTAAACAAATTTATGGTTTGTTTCCTTTGATCTTGACAAAGGCGAAGTTTTCTTTTCTGTTTGGATAACGTGCCGGAGCAATCGTAATGCACACTGCAATGTAGGTAGACAACTGTAACAGAACGTCGAATTTGTTGCCGGTGCCTGTAGTTTTTTTAATAACGTAATAACACTAGCGCATTGCTAATCTTATAGTTTGCTGTATAAATATGGAGTTTACTAAATACTAGAGATCGCCCAACGGTCGAATTTGGACATTATAGAACGTCTAGTTTTATTTTATATACTAGGGAAATTTAATCTCTCATTGTATAGAATTTTGTACAATGACCGACTGAAATATATGCTGGGTCCCTTTAGCTTTCTATGGCCATTTTGTTTTTTTCTTTTTACTTTATGGCACATATTGTTTAAAAATGTTAGCTTTGTGCACTTTTTTTACATAATTATGAACTATGAATATGTGTCCCTATTAATATGTGCTTTCGTGCGCCATATTTGTTTAGAAAAGCATAAAAATATTTTCTTTACGTATTAATATAGGTATAAATATTAATTTAGTGGATTTTTATTGACGAGTAAGAAAACTAGACTTTAAACAGATAAGTATACAGAACTCGTAACGTGTTAACTCTATTTGGGGAATTTACTTTTTTTTTACAAATTTAACAAGCCTATTAGCATTCCGAGGTTCTTGTAATAAAATGCCTATAAAAACGCGGATTTGGGTGATCAATTAATTTTACATATTATGTTAATGTATACCTACATTGTTTTGTCCAAAATTGAATTAATTAGTTGAAGCAAATTAAGTGCGAATACTGTGCTACTACTGTGTCCGTGTAGTGACGGATTAAGAATACGGAATGTCACTACCCCAATTCATCCCGTGGGTGTCGTAAGAACCGACTAAGGGCGCAACACAACGCAAGACACCAGCACTGCAAAAAGAAGGAAAACTTGACACCAACCCTATACCAATCCGTCTGGCCAGCGTGGTATAGTAGGCCAAAACCTCCATTCTAAGGAGAGGCCTCTCCTTAGAATGGAGGCCAGCAGTGAACTATTAAAGGCTGTTGATGTTAACTGTGCTACTATGTAAAGCTGTTCTGTAACACCATAAAAGCGAACTATAAAAAGGGGGTTGTTTACTTTAAACCACTAAGGTGGCAAAAAGAATAAGAATTCAAAAATTCATGGAATATCATGAGTTCATTGTATTTCATTAATTTGATATAAGATGTGTATGAAAATGACAATGTCAAATAGTCTATGTGTCGGCCAATAGACAATTCACTATTTTTAATTTATTATTATTCTGTATTAAGTCCAACATATGCAATAACCTTTATTATACTTTATATTACTTAAATTTATGTTAGTTTATTGCATTAAGATTAGGAAATAACTCATAATAATAACCAAAAATCAGAACAACGTAACGTACCTATGCTTTTAGCGCCGATAGCCACTGTTTATATGTGTCATATAAAAGCAACAGTGAGCAATATAAACAGTGCTCATCTCATAATTATAAATGTTATTATTTGTAATAACAATAAAAAAAGGTAACAATATGCTATAACGATAACTATTCACATAAGCCATAACTACGTTCATAACGCATTTCGTTTAAAAATTATATTTCAATACCTAGTATTTACCTACGTAAGTTGCGCATAATTGCGAAAATGGACAAGACAACTATTTCAGCACCACTAATGTTGTTTCCTAACGTGATATTACGCAGCCATTTTGAAACGACATTTAAAATGCGGAAGTGCATTTCCATCAATAACTTTTCCCTACGTTCGGTTAGTAGACACAAGTTTCTCAGTTTGATGTGTAAACAAGAAATCGTCTTGCGGTTACCACAACCGGTGAAGCCACTGTCCGTGTCGTACGTGGCGGACCGTAGTACCCGCTTGTTCAGACAGATTATATTATTGTTTTGATTCTTTTTGTTATAGAAATAATTTGAAAGAAAGTGTTTGTGTACGCGCGATTTCGCGCCTAATTTCAGTGATAGTGACCTTATTTTTGTGTTATCTGTGTCTATATTTTCTATTGCCGTTCGGATTTTTGGTAAGTTAACTTATTTTAAAACTACTTAAAATGCATAAAGTAATGATGAAATATAAATTAATTAAAAATAAGAAATTGTTTACGTAAATATGATGTAAGTTTGCGCAAACAATAAATCTATTTATATAATATCTAACGGTGCGATACGTTATGAAATTGAGGAAAATCTTAGCTGCTCACTT